CTGATGAACCCGTGCTGGTTGCCCCTGAGCATGCAGTTCCCTGCTGGCCCCTCCTGGATGTGTGCCAGAATAATTTTCTCGAACAGCTTGCCCAGGATCGAGGTAAGGCTGACTGGCCTGTAGTTCCCTGGGTCCTCTTTCCTCCCCTTTTTGAAGATGGGAACCACGTTGGCCCTCTTCCAGTCCTCCGGCACCTCTCCAGAGCACCACGAGTATTCATAAAGCTGCGCCAGGGGACTTGCAATGACCCCAGCTAGTTCCTTTAGGACTCTAGGGTGAAGATCATCCGGGCCGGCTGACTTAAAAATGTCCAGCCCCTCCGGAAGCTCCCTAACTAAATCTTCACTCACCCTAGGCCCAGGTGAGCCTCCCCCCGGGGCCCAAAGGCCATTAGTTCACTGCCATTTTTAAGCATGATACACAAGACATGGGGTGCTGTAATTAGAGCAGCTCTCAGAGCCATTGTAATTAAAACACTGCCCCACCCACCCCCAGAGCATGTGTAACAGTGATTAATTACTATAGCTACAGTAAAAAGGTCTGAACATGGCCAGTCCAAATGGGGACAATTTTCCTATCAAGGAAAAATACCAAGATCTTTAGTATGGTGTTTCCTATTGAAATAGAAAAAGAAAAAAATCAAGAGAGGCTTGCATATTTAACAAGAAACACCTCCCTCCTCAGACTCCACCTATTTTATGTAGCATCCATTATTTAAAATAGGTCTCTTACTTTGGACTGAAACATTACCTGGAGGTACTCCTTTTAGCAATTTTCCCCTTTTCTCTCAAAGAAATTCTCTGCAAGTCTTTGAGGTAATAGACGGAATTACTTATATCCCTCTCAAAACTACACCTATCTCATATAACTTAAGGGCATGCAGCTGGAGATATTTTCTGAACTTAACCCTTTCTCTTCCAACCAGAGTCCAGGGCCTATATCTGCCTATTAAAATGGTAGAATGGATATGGTAGTTTGGGAGTTGTAGCTTACGTTGTAGCTGTGGTAGCTCAGGAAATAGGCAAGAGGCAAGGTGATATCGAGGTGATATCTTTTATTGAACCTACTGCATATGTCAATTTATGGTGCAGCCTAGGTCCATTTTTTTTCGAATACTCTTAGCAGGAGTTAGTAATGCTGTCCAAATATAAAAGCTAGTCATGAGATTTATTGCTAATAAATGTAGTCCCATTTTGCTCTTCACAGACAGTTCATAAACAAGTCCTAATTTCACACTTTTTATTAGGTTTCCATTAATAAATGACTATCAGATGTTTTAATAAATTAATAATCAACTGCTGGAGTCCTACCAGTTAGGAGGTGGCTTATATCCACACATCCTAGCCATGTCTGTAATATCTGTTATTAACCCCCTATAAACAAAGCATCAATATATGGCATGACCCTATTTCTAGAAGCATATTTCTAAGGATTTTATACATTGTTTGTATGATAAGAATTGTTCACTTTTTCTTGTTTGGTGTCCAATTAGTCATTTGCTATATGAGATCATTTTTGTTCCTTGTACAAAACTGCGAAACTTTTTTGACCAAATGATGGTTATCAAGCATTTCAGATAAACATTTTAAATAAACAATTGAACCTGCAATTGAACAATTGAATAAACAATCTGATAAGCATTTCAGATAAACAATTGAAAAGACTATTGTTCTAAAATTCTGGAAGCTTTCAGTACCTTCAAGCATTGTCCTGAATAAACTAACGGACACTGAATCAGCTCACACAATGAATAATGCGACCCCATAAATAAGAGCAGAACTATGCTTGTCATTTTGCAAACTTAATTGTTAATCACTTTTTGTGTTTCACCAGTTCCACTCAAAAGAGATTTCACTGACACTACAGAAGGAAAAGAAAATCAGTGTGACTGAGAATAGCAATAGTTCACAGGCACCTGGTAATTTATGTGTGATGCTTCCCTTGCTGAGTACAGTATTTATATTATCTTTCCAATTATTTTGTCTGGCCTCTTAAATTTTATAGGGAGTGCGTGACTAGAGATTATTGTGATAGGCAAAGTGAATAAATTGGAAAATAAATAAAGAAGGGGATGTGTGATGAAGATAGGCTATCCATTATTTAGAAAGATTTCAGAGTCAGAGAGAAGACAGAAACTTGGAGAGAAGTCAAGTTGAAAAACATAGGGATTAATAGAGGCTAGGTCACAGAGAGAAAATAATGACAAGACAAGAATTATAGTCCCAAAAGAATGTTCTGTAAAAAAGAAGCCACTCCAGACATATGGCCAAGGGAGGTTTATGAACCTCCTTGCCACACAGAAAAAATGCCAAGGAGGGGACGTGCTTCTGAAGCCGATAGACACTCATGGAGAACAGAAATGCAATGTCCGAAGCCTAAGACTTGTCTTCTCTGTAGACCAAAGGGACAAAAAAAGCACTGCAATCTGTTCAAACATGCAAACAGATAGAAGGAGAAAGTAGAATACCATCAAATATAAGCATGTTTTTGTAAAATGGAGCCTCATTCCAAAGCAAAGACACCAGGTGCTACCATAGCACAAATAAATGATACACACATGGAGGCACTTGCAAAGAAGCCATTTCACTCATGTAATGGCCTGGATCAAGCAACATGCCAAAGTAATGTGTATGAAGAGAAGGGAGTTAGAGGAAAAGAGAAACAAATGAAATCTCTAGTTAGATAGGTATTGATTACAAAGATTCTTTTTCTTTTCCTAGCCATACTTGAGCAGACCATGGCTGAGTGTCCAGTACACATAAACTAGGTTTGGCTAAACCCAGTGACTAAATGTAAATTTATTATACTGTGCCTATTAAAATGGAAGATCATTGTGTATGTGAAGGAACAGGGGTTAGGAGTCTAGTCTTGCTGCTCCAATATCTGAAGCTACCATTTCTTGTACTAATGAACCACACATGCCCCTCCACTCCCCCGCTAAGGGGGCAAAGCTTATCGTCTGAGACCATCAAAGTTTACTGATATTAAAAAAAACCCATTATTTAAATATCAGTCCCTATTGAATCTATGTATATCAATACAATGCAACCACTTTACACATCATACTTAGGAAGCTGGGGGCTAGACCTCTGGTTCTTCAGATCTATACCACCTCAGCTAATCAATTCCTTTTATAAATGCCAAAAATATGCTTCTTTAACTGTTTCTGGGCCAGAGACTTGAGGACAGCGTACATTATTCACCGAGTCACTGGTGTGCACCAGGAGGTCAGATCTAATTCACTACCCAAAACTAGGGTCTCTTAAAATGTCATTGTTGTTTTATTCTTCCCTTCACAATCCCATTTTCATAGATCTTCCACCTACAAGTTGTATTGGTTATCATTAACAAACTTCATCAGACTCAGATGCAAGCCTGCAAGTATGCTGACACATTTGGAGTTAACACTACCTTTGTTTTCTCAGTATTGTTCTTCCACATTGTGTAGTATCTTGGAAATAAGACATTGGAATTACAGTAACCTAGAAAGCTCCTGCCAAAGTGATGTCTCTGGTGTAAAATGCACAACATGTAAGGAGTACCATTCTGTGAGGTTTATACCTTTCTTTTGTGGAAAAGATCATACAATGTTAATATTCTAGCCCAATGAGCTACAGATTCTGGCATTGTACTGGTTTATTAGATTTCTGCTTTAATGCAGATAATGTACATTGATGCTCATACTTTCAGTACCATTAGGTACATTACCAGTCAATGAATGTCAGATGTTAAGGTCAAAGTTCATATTATGTCTGAATACTGAGTGGTATTTATTCTCTGAAGAAAATATAATCATCTGCATGATCTTATGTGCTGTGTATCCATCACGTTAACACTCTTTTAGCATCCTTATCTCAGCTGCCAGGAAATTGTGTTTATGATGTTCTTTCATTATCCCAGTGCAACTATGGTGAAAGGTGAAGAAGTCCTTGATGAGACTGAACACACACTGGAGAATGTGTTAAACTGCTTTGCAGCATGCTATACAATTTGCTAAGTAATCTCACATGTCACAGAGCAACTATATATTAAAAGCTGTTTGGAAAAATCTTAACAGGTACATTTTCACAGCTTCACTTGACCTTTTAGTTAGTGGTGGGCCATAAAGTGCATATAGCTATGTCACTGTATAGCCAATTTATTTACTCTGATACTCTGGTCCTTCAGTACCAGGTGGGCTTTGCTTCCCTTATCTTTTCTAAGGATGGAGCCTTTAAAGGCTAGCTCATGAGTTGTAGAACAGAGAGCTACATGAGCAGGAGCTGCACCTGCAAAGAAAGCAACACTTGAACAATTTTATAAAATGTGAATGCATGATTAGAAAATGCATAAGCAGCTACCAGCATCAGCAAAGGCAAGAGCAGCCTCTTTGACATGGAGAATTCTTAGCCACCTTGAAAGGAGGGGTACAGTGAGACAGTGAAGAGGCCCCATAATGCCCCTCATACTGATTAGTGGAATGGGTCTTCTGATATGAAGAAAGAAGTCACTAACAGATGAGGGTGTCAGCATGCAGAATCAGTGAGTGCAGTGTGCTACGATGATTCGTTTGTGTTCTTGCCCATTCTACAAAGAAACAATTTGCTTCTCACCATCTGTTAGGAATGTGCTTTACTATGGGGAAATGTAAATGTAGAGCATACTTCTCATTAGCATGCTACAATCTCCTTTTTGCACCAGATATTTCCACTCACTTGTGCCTGTATATACACTAACCATTAAAACCACTTCCTTAGCCTGCAGTGTAACTAACCCCATAGTCATCCATGGTATAGCTTTATACCAGTCTCTGCTTGAACATCTATGTTCCCAATAAAGCCTGTCCATTGGCATTCATTTCTTTTGCATCTCAAAACATTGGTGAGAGGGTAAGGTATTTATCCTCTCAACTTCCTGTAAGTCAAGGAAGTACTGTGATGACCATTTTATATAAAAAGTACTGAGTCACAGGCAAACTAAGTGTCTTCTTGCTTGGAAAACAGCCTAAAGAAAGTGGTATCAGGGCAAGGAATTGAACCCAAGTGCCATGCTAGAGCCCAGACCACTGCCCTATCTTCCCTTCTGCATTTCATACTGAGCTTTCATGCTCATTATAACATTTATAAGAAACCCTTGAATGCTTCATGGGTTCAGGTAAAATTAAAATCATTAGTTTTCTGATCTGAAATAAACTGATGAAAAAATTGTTTTCTGTATAGTTATACAGACTACAATTTTCAAAAACCTTATTGAAAGATCTATAGAAACAAATTGAAGGATTCATTATCAGAAACATCTTACCAGTATAAGTGATAAGAAATCGATCTATTCCCATAAC